ATATTCCTGAATTTCTCAAGAAGAAAAGATCACACCTAATGAAATCCAATACTGATGAAAGAGAACTTCTTGCTGATTTAACTACCACCTGCACATCTGGTGTGTTTTCCTGGAGATCCTCTGTACTGTTTGTTTAACTCACAGCCTAAGCACTTCCCATAGAGGACGTGTCATCTTCAACTCTTCAAACAGTTCCAAAGCACAGAGTTGGCAAGGACCGTTTGTTTTAAAAGATGATGTAGCACAATTTCTGTACCATGGTAATATACAATTGTGAGGGGTTTTTATAATATCGAGATTTATGGATTTGAAGAGAAAAAAAATTAAATACATGTTTTAGGAATGCCTGTGACACAAAATCACATTTTGCAAAGCATTCCAAGAAGTTTGAGGCTTCAAGAAAAAGAACAAAATCAAGTTACCCATTAACATTAAGAGAAGGAAGAACAGATCTGTTTTAGTAATTGTTTCAAAGTCATTTGCTAGGTTCTGCAAAGGAGATTTCAATCTCTAAGCTGCAGAAGCATTTTGTTTTTTTAAATAGATTAATATTTAATTAAGCTGAAAAGGCAAAAAAAGAATCTTTTAAAAATGTGGGTAAAATGTATAAATTCTAATGGACAGTGTTTCTTCCAAAATCTTCCCATATTTTTTGAAGAGCCAGATAGAAACATTGACATACTAAAAGAGAAGGTGCATGAATAAGTTTGATCAACCCAAAGAAAAACTCAAATTATTTGATATTCACCTGAGGAAAAAAATGCACATTTTAATAGTATTTATTGTAGACAACATCATTCAAGAAAAGCTGACTTAGTGATGTCTGTTGGCCCTAAGTCTATGGTGAGACCCGAAACGTTTGTTTTCCTATTGTGCATCTTATCAAAGACAAAGATGACTTCATTAAATTTGACAACTAGAAATCCATATGACAGGCTTCATATAATCAGAGCGCCCTAGCTTTAATTTGCATTGTACAATCATGAAAACATGTACTTATTTATGCAAATACATAGTGCACCCTGACAAAATCCTTTACTTTATAGAGTGCTATTATTATTGTCAACTAACAACAAAAAAACTCAGTTGTTTTATGAGGATCAGCAGACTTAGCCACAAACTTTGGCAATTCTTTTAACTACTTCGGTATATACTATCATTGAAAGAAATCATGATTGTTTTGTATTATTATTACTATACTTCATTATGTATCACACATTGTATAAACAAGAGGCCAGACAGCATATTAAAAAGTATTCACTTGTCACTTGCTTTGTCAGACTCTACTTGGAAGCATATTTCTGCATTTTCCCTCATTTGACCTTGCAAGTGACCCTAAGGATTTTACACGACTACTGTTTCATCTGACAAGGAAGCACACACAGGAGAGGCTCTAATGCCATCCACTTAAAGGTGTAAGGGCTAGATAAGAATGCTCCAGAGAGTGTTTTCCTATCCTGTTCTTACTGTAGGTGACTCTGGGGACAGGAGGGATGGAGGAGAAGGGGGATGAATTTGGAATTTCATTTTCTACTGTTTGTTCACTTGTCTTCTTTTTCTGAAATTATTTCTCTATGAATGCTTTGGAATAAGAAAAATGAGTTGTTTCTGTTCTTATATAAATTTTGTTGAATTGATTATTACCACACTGTCTTTGTATCTTCAGAATAAGCAGCATCAAAGAAATACATTGCAAAATAAAGTTGATATGAACCACTTATCTGTTTTTGAATAAATGACAGAAAATAGCGTAGAAAATTAATCCAGCTTTAAAAAGTAAACATTTCAAGTTAACCACTTCGACTTCCTTACTGATAGTTTGGAAAAAGATGGAGATATATTCCATAATATTTACAGGAGTTTTAGGAACAAAATCAGCTGGAAAATATATAGCACCTTAATAATCATTTCAAAGTAAGAGGATTGTTATCCCATTCCACAGATGAGCAAACTGAGTTCCAGAAAGATTCAATGGATTGGAGACCAAATATCATTGATTCAGAATGTGTCCTGAAGCCAGGGAAACAGCTCTAAACACAAAGGCTTCAAAAAACTGTGGCCAAATGGAATTTAAAGACATGATTATTTTGGTGAGAGAAAATTTTGAAATCCATGCATAGATTTTTTTATTCATCTTATGCATTTTCCATTAATTTGTCAAAGACTCAGTGAGGGTGCATGGAGAGAGAACATCATTATTTTCTCAGTCAGCTAGACTAGCTGTGAGGTGAATGGAATCCCTAACCCCAGTCTGGCCTGTGTGATGGTATATGGGCACAGAGTCTCTAAAGAGGTATGTACATTAGAAGAAGGCCATTACGTTGGGCCCTAATCCAATATGTCTGGAGTCCTATACTTAAAAATACATATATATGTATATACACTTATTTTTTTTTTATTTATGGGAAGACACAGAGAGAGAGAGAAGGTTTGGTTTACTCCCCAAATGGTTGCAATGGCCAGGACTGGGCCAGGCAGAAGCCAGAAGCCAGCAGCTTCATCCAGATCTCCCACATGGATAAGCAGGGGTCCAAGTACCTGTGCCAACCCCTGCTGATTTCCCAGGGGCATTTGCAGGGAGCTGGATCAGAAGCAGAGTAGCTAGCACTCCAGCCAGCATTCCTGGCACACAGGCTTCAAAAAGGTGGTCTAACCTGCTGACCACAGCACTCACTGCTAGTATCCTTTGTCCAACTACAAGATCAGGACGCAGACACACACAGGGGGAAAACACATTGACCACACCACTCTGACAACGAGTGAGGCCTTGGAAGACATCAATTCTGCAGACATTTTGATCTTAGAGTTCAAGCTCCTATAATTTTACAGAAAAGAATACCTGTTGTTTGTTGTTTTCCTACCCCTTGAAGTAGAAAGTTTCCCCAAATTATACAACCACGATAACCAATCTCAGTCCAAATGTTCTAATAGTGAAGAGAGATAACTCTCATGTTTTAAAATTGGAACAAAGCAAGGAGGCCTGACTGTTGAGGATGGCCAGATTCCTGAGGCCGGTTGTGAGTCTCCACTGTGGTTCATCTGGTCCTCTGCATGGCCCTCTGGTATACTCAGCACCACAGCATCACGGGAAACAGAGCCTGCCCTTTCTTTTACAGTCTGCATCTTCCAGTCACACTAAACCTGGACTGAAAATGTACATGTGGGACAGGCATGGTGGCATAGCAGTGAATTCACCACTTGGGGTGACTGCACCCCATAGCAGAGTTCCACTAGGAGTGCCAGCTACTCCACTTCCAATTTAGCTTCCTGTCAGTGTGTTCTGGGAGGGAGCAGATAAGGTCCACGTGTTTGGGCCTCTGCAACCCTCGTGGGAGACATGGAAGGAATTCCTGGCTCCTGGCTTAGGCCTATACCAGCCCTGGCTGTGGCTGATACATGGGGAGTGACCAGCAGATGGGGGATCTCTCTCCCCACCACCCTTCCTATTGCTCTTCCTTTTGAATGAATAAATCAAACTTTAAGAAAAGAAAACAAGCACTGAAATGTATTAGCTTTGTGGCCTGTTGATTATTTGAGCCCACGTTTTCTTCTCTGTAACAGGAGGATAATAACTGCATTTCTCCCTTAGATGTGAAGCTCAAGAAAAAACAAAAAACCCTCCATCTGCACTCAGAATGCTGATTACTGCAGGCTGGTGGCAGTGGGAGGGATAGTGAGTTCAGATTAAGAGAAACAAGAGGGGAAGCTGAGTGTGGTTCACTAATGACTAATGACATTAAATATACTAATATAAGATGTTAATAATATGGAAAGCTGGGTGTGGCGTGTAGAACTCTGCACCACCTCATGGTTTTGTTTTGTAATGTAAAACTATTCTGAATAAAATAAAATGTTGATTTCAAAATAGGGGAATTAAACAAGAAAGTCAGCTTCCCTCCTCATCCCTCAGTATGCTCAGTAATCTGTGTCTTCTTTTGAATTTTAAGATTTGTTTTTTATTTGAAAGACAAAGTTACAGAAAGAGAGAGAGAGAAAGAGAGAGGTCGTCCATCGGCTGGTTCACTCCCCAAATAGCCACAATGGCCTGAGCTGTACTGATCTGAATCCAGGAGCCAGAGCTTCTTCCAGGTCTCCCACGTGAGTGCAGGGGCCCAAGGACCTGAGTCCCCTTCTGCTGCTTTCCCAGGTGCATTAGCAGGGAGCTGGATTGGAACCAGCTCAAACCAGCACCCATATGGGATGCAGGCTGGAGCTTTAACACACTGCATCACAGCACTGGCTCCTGTATCTTCCTTCTGAGTAAATGACATGACTCAGGAATTTGCTGAGCCCAAAATTTTTTTGGAGATTTTGTGAATTTCCTCTTGTACAATCCACATCTCAAATGTCCACAAACCCTCTGGTCATTAGATTCAAAATATATCCAGAATCTGACCTGTTCCTACTAATTCAGTTTTGACAATTATGATCTAGTCCAGAGCCCTTCATATTGGAATAGGCACCATTAAGAACCCCAAACGCAAAGCAGGAGTGTGGCACAGTGGTTAGATGCCAGTGAAGCTACCTATGTTCCACATTGGAGTACCTGGGTTCAAGTCCTGGCTCCACTCTCACTATGAGTCTTCTGCTAATGAGGACCAAGGAAGGCAGCAGGTGATGGTTCAAGGAGCTGCGTTCCCCCTGCCCCTATGTCAGAGACCCAGATCTAAATAGTGGCTCCTGGCTTTGGCCTGGCCCACCTGCTCCTAGGCATTGTAGGCGTTTAGGAAGTAAATTAGTCTCTCTCTCTCTCTCTCTCTCTCTCTCTCTCTCTCTCTCAAATAAAAAAATCCTATAAGTTATTCAACACAGTGATAGTTTTCAAGGAATACATTTCTAGAAAGAAAGGTGAAGCCAGATATATCAATATAACCTGGGATGTGAAAGCGTCTAAGGCACAAAGCAAAGGAACATAACTAAACATTGGCTTGAGAAGATTTCTGTAAAGATTAATGAGTGTATTTCTTTAAAAAAAAGTAATTAATAAAATAATGATTTACCTGAACGATCGATGTGGTGCTGTGGCGCTCTCCTGGGCCGGACTTAAGCCTCTCCAGATGAGGGACGGCCGTTCATGGCCAAGGTTGCCGAGCTTCTCCTGGCCTGCAGGCCCCTCGTTCTGCTTTCCCCACCTGTGGGTGGTGTGTGGGCGGCAGGGCTGCGGAAACCGGCCCGACCTCCGCACTCCCGCCTTCTGCCTCGTGGCGATGGCGGGGGGTCGGAGTCCTGTGACGTGGCGGGGCATCGCTCGCCGTCGCCCTGCCTCCGCGCGAGCCTGTGCGGTGCCCCTGGAGTGGTCCAGGTTGTGCCTCAGGTGCCTGAAGCCGAGTGGTGGTGTTGCTCCTGTCCCCCCAGCGCCCTCTCCCGGGTGTCGCTGCTGCACGTGCCCCTTGGGAGTCTTGGGGGGGTCGAGGCGGTAAGAGAAGGGGAGACCCGTGGGTGCCTCGCTTCGCTGGAGGGAGGCTGCCGGTGTCGTGCCGTCTCCACGTGGGTGGGGAATTGGCTTGGCGGGCGCATGCCTGCGCGCTTGCCACCCTGCCCCCGTGGGGTGGTGTGTGCCAGGTGTGTCGAGCGGTCGCGGTGTGGTCCGGTCCTGCTCCCCGTTTGTCGCGTACCCGTGCGCTTCCAGAGCCTGAGAGAGCGCGAGCGCCCAGGGGCTGTAGAGAACGAGATTGGTAACGAGCGCAGCCTGCGCTGGCCCTGGCCGCGGGTGCTCGAGGGGCCGTTTCTTGCCTATACCGCAGACCCCTCGCGCGATCGGTCTGGGGGGCGCTCCCGTGGTTGCCTCCTGCCGGCCCGGCGGGGGCAGTTGGGGTGGGGTGTGGCCCACCTTCGGTGAGGAACGCCTTCTCTAGCGATCCGAGAGAGGGGCGTGCCTTCTGACGGGGTACCGTTATCCCCCGGCCGCCGTCCCTCCTGTGCTGAGTGCGTTGGGTGGCGTACCCCACCCGTGCGCCCTTTTTTCGGGGGGAGAGTGAGCGTAGTTGTGCTGGTGGGTCTGCCGGTCCCCGCGGTGGGGACCGGGGCGCTGCTCTTTCGGCCCTAATGGCCGCGGCCCGCGCCTCCCCCCTCCGTGTCGGGGGAGGGTCCCGCCGGGCCGGGCTGGCGGTCCCGGTCCGTCGCTCGCTCTTCGTGTTGGGGACCGGCGCGCGTGCCCGTGTGCGCGCGTGCCTTCCGCGTCACTCTCCGTGTGTTGCCTTGTCGGCCGGGGCTTGGCGGGGGCGCGCGTGGTCCGTCCTGCGCGTCCCCGGGGCTGTGGCGCGAGCGGGCAGCTCTCCGCTTCCTCGGCTCCCTACCCTGGGCTGCGACCCAACGTTCTGGGGCGGCGGTCGGCACGTGTGTTGGGAAAAAAAAAATGATTTACTTTATTTATTGAAAGACAATGTCAAAATAAAAATAAAAAAGACAGTGTCAGGGTGAGGTGCATGGAAAGAGGTCTTCCATTCACTGGTTCACTCCCCAAATAGCCACAACAACCAGGGCTGAACCAGGCCAAAGTCAAGGGCCAGGAGCTTCATCTGGGTCTCCCACGTAGGCAGCAGGGTTTCAAGGATTTGGCCCTATTCTGCTTTTACACCTGGAGCTCCATCCCCACTAGGATATCCCCTCCATAAAGGAAATGACTCTGATGTGTTGCCACTGTTTAACAACTGGAAGATTGGTGTAGGGGAGGCACCTACCTCCTGTGATTTCAATGACTGCCTGGATTGTTCTGGGTATTAAGTGATACAACATTGTGTTATTAATATAAAGTACCAGGCCCACTACCTAGCAATATAATAAATATTTATTCAATAATAATAGGAATACTTAACCTTCCCTGCTAGAGCCAGGCCCTGCTCCCATCAGGCATGGCCCTGGGCACTCTCAGATGCTTGCCCCGCCCCTTTCCTTGCTCTCCAGGGCCAGGCCCTGCCCCCTCCTTACCCTCTAGAGCCAGCCCTGCTCCCATCTCATATTCCAATGCCAGGCCTTGCTCAACCTCCAGGGCCGGCCCTGCTCCCCTCCTCACCCACCAGGCCTCACCCTGCTGCCCTCCTTGCCCTCTGGGACCAAGCACTGCTCCCCTCCTCACTCTCCAGGGCCAGACCCACTCCTCTCCTTGCCCTGCAGAGCCAGGCCCTGCTCCCCTTAGGTGCAGCCCTTGCCATGCTCCAGGGCTGGCCCTGCGCCCACCTAACCTTCCAGGGCCCACCCGTCTACCCTCTCCATCCTCCAGGGCCAGGGCCTGCTACCCTCTCACCCCCCGGGCTGGCCCTGCTCTGCTCCTTGAACTCCAGGGCCAGGCCCACTCCCTTCCTCACCCTCCAGGGCTAGGCCCACTCCCCTCCTCGCCCTCATGAGCCAGGCTCGGCTCGCCACATGCCACACACAGCCCTGGCCACACAAGGGCTGGCCCTGCTCCATTTCCTGCCCTCCAGGGCCAGGCCCTGCTCCCCTCCTTGTACTCCAAGAACCAGCCTGCTGCCTTCTTTGCCCTCCAGAGCCAGCCCCTGCTCCCCTCAGGCGCATTGCTGGCTACCCTCCAGTGCCAGGCCACGCTCCCCTCCTTGCCCTCCAGGGCCCACCCTGCTCCCCTCTCCATCCCCCAATGCCAGGCCCTGCTCACTTTCCAGGGCCAGGCCTGCTCCCCTCCTTGCCCTCCAGATCCAGGCTCTACTCTCCACAGGCACTGCCCTGGCCACCTTCAATGGCCTGCGCTGCTCCGTTCCCTGCCCTCCAGGGCCAGGCACTGCTCCCCTCCTCACCCTCCAGGGGTGGTCCCACTCTGCTCCTCACATGCCAGGACCAGGCCTGCTCCCCTCCTCACCCTCCAGAGCTAGGCCCTGCTCACCTCAGGCATGGTGCTGGCTACTCTCCAGGGCCAGGCCCTGCTCCCCTCTTTGCCCTCCAGGGCCGGCATTTTACTTCTTGACCTCCAGAGCCAAGAACTGCTCCCTTCAGGTGAGGCCCTAGGCACCTACAGGGCCTGGCCCCCACTCCCTCCCCCCCACCAGGGCTGGCCTTGCTCCCCTCCTTACCCTCCAGGACCATCCCTGCTCTCCTGAGGCACAGGCCTCGCTGCCCTCCAGGGCCAGGCCCTGCGGCCCTCCTCACCCTGCAGGGCTGGCCCCACTTGGCTCCTTGCACTCCAGGGCCAGGCCCACTCCCCTCTTCCCTCTCTAGAGCCAGGCTCTGCTCCCCACAGGTGCTGCCCTGGCCACCTTCAAGGGCCGGCCCTGCTCCGTTCCCTGCCCTCCAGGGCCAGGAACTGCTCCCCTCAGGTGTTGCCCTGGGGACCCTCATTGATATATTTGCAATTAGTATAAACACATTCTAGTGTAAAAATTTAAGAAATACAAGACATTTGAAATAACATGCATATTCAGCCAAACAGCTTCACTGATAAATTCTACCTGATTCTTAAGACACAATACCAGACACTCCAGAAAGGGTGTCAGTACACTTTTAGTCAATCTATCAATGAATAGATAGTTAAACTCAATTCTTATACAAATGTGAGAGAAGAATGTGGATATTTGACCATATTTTTGCTAATTAAAACAATTATAAATACCTGAAAAAAGAAATTGAAATAGAAAGTAATAATTCTCATCTCCTATGGTGAGATCACCCTTACCTAAAGTCAAGGTCAAATAAGACACTATGGCCTTGTTCCCCTCCACACCCTCCAGGACCGCCCCCACTCCCCTCCTGGTCCTCCAGTGCCAGGCCCTGCTCCCCTCAGGTGTGGCCATCACTACCCTCCAGATCTGAACCCTGCTCCCCTCCACACCTCCTTGGCATGGCCCTGCTCCCCTAGGGCACTGCCCTCGCCAGGTTCCAGGGCAGGGCCCCACTCCCCTCCTTGCCCTACAGAGCTAGGCCCCACTCTGCTCAGGTGTGGCCCTCCCCACCCACCAGGGCTGGGCCCCTACTCCCCTCCTCACCCTCCAGGGCCAGGCCCCACTACCCTCCTTGACCTCCAGGGCCGGGCCTTGCTCTCCTCAGGCAGGGCCCTTGCCACCCTCCAGGAACGAGCCCCTCCTCCCCTCGTTGCACTCCAGAGGCAGCCCAACTGCCCTAGGGTGCAGCCCTTGCCACCCTGCAGAACCCGGCCAAGCTCCCCACAGGTGTGGCCCTGGCCACCCTCCAGGGCCCGGCCCTGCTCCCCTCCTCAACTTCCAGGGCTGGCCCCACTCCCCTCCTTGCCCTCCAGGACCATGCCCTCTCCACTTTGCCCTCCAGAGCCAGCACCTGCTCCCCTCAGGCAGGGCCCTGGCCACCCTCCAGGGCCCCACCCTGCTCCCCTCTCCATCCTCCAATGCCAGGCCCTGCTCCCCTCTTTGCCCTCTACAGCCAGGGCCAGCTCCCATCCTTGACCTCTAGGGCGGGGCCCTGCCTCCCTCAGGCAGGGCCCTGGTCACCTCCCAGGGACAGGCCATTCCTCTCCTCCTTGCAATCCAGAGGCGGCCCCACTCCCCTAGGGAGCAGCCCTTTCCACTCTCCAGAAACTGGACCCACTCCTCTCAGGTGCAGCCCTGACCACCTTCCAGGGGCAGGCCCTGCTCACCTCAGACGTGGCCCTGGCATCCCTCCAGGGCCCAGCCCTGTTCCCCTCATCACCCTCCAGGTCTGGGCCCGCTCCCCTCCTCGCCCTCCAGGGCAGGACAAGCTCTCATCCTGGCCCTCCAGGGCCTGCCTCACTCTCCTCCTCGCATTCCAGGGCCAGGCCAACACCCCTCCTCGCCCTACAAAGCCAGGCCCTGCTCTCTTCATGGGCGGCCCTGGCCACCTTCAAGAGGCGGCCTGCCCCCTTCCTTGCCCTCCAGGGCTAGGCCACGCTCCCCTCAGGCAGGACCTTGGCCACCCTCCAGGGCTTGGCGCTGCTCCCCTCCTCAACCTCCAGGGCCAGCCCTGCTCCCCTCTCCATCCTCCAGGGCCAGGCTCTGCTCTCCTAAGGCAAAGGCCTCGCTGCTCTCCAATGCCAGGACCTGCTCCCCTCCTTGCCCTCCAAGGCCTGAACCCTGCTCCCCTAGCTGGGGACTGGGCCCTGCTCCAGGACTGGGCCCTGATCTCCTGAGACCTGGGTCTCTCTGCTCTCAGGGGCCAGGCTCCCCTCCCCTCCTCATCCTCCAGGGCCTGGCCATGCTACATTTCTTGCCCTCCAATGCCAGGCCCTGCTCCCCTCCTTGCCCTCCAGGGCTGGGCCACACTCCCCTCAAGCAGGGCCCTGGCCACCCTCCAGGGCCAGCCCCTCTCCCCTCAGGTGCAGGCCTCACTGCCCTCCAAGGCCAGGCCCCGCTCCCCTCCTCACCCCCCAGGGCCGGGCCCTGCTAACCCTCAGGTGTGGACCTGGCAACGCTCCAGGGCCAGGTCCCTGCTCCCCTCCTTGCCCTCCAGAGCCCTGCCCTGCTCGCATAGGGCACAGCCCTTGCCACCCTCCAGGGCCTGGCCCCAGCTCCCCTCCTAGCCCTCCAGAGCCCAGGCCTGCACCCTTGGGCGTAGCCCTCACCACCCTCCATGCTGGGCCTAGCTCCCCTCTTCACGCTCCATGGCACCCCCTCCCCAGCTCCCCTCCTCAGCCTCCAGGGCCTGAGCCCTACTCCCCTTGGGCTGGCCCAGCTCCCCTCCTTGCTCTCAAGAGCCAGGCCCTGCTTCCTCCTTGCCCTCCAGGGCTGGTCCTGCTCCCCTCCTCGCCATCCAGGCCCGGGCCCTGCTCCTGTCCTTGCCATTAGAGCCCAGCCCTGCTCCCCTCCTGATCCTCCAGTGCCCCCTGCCCCCGGCTCCCCTCCTCACCCTCCAGGGTCAGGCCCCGCTCCCCTCAGGTGTGGCCTTCCCCACCCTCCAGGGTCTTGCTCCTGCTTCCCTCCTTGCCCTCCAGAGCCCAGCCAGGCTCCCCTCCAGACAGCCCTTGCCACTCTGCAGGGCTGGGCCTCATGCCCCTCCTAGCCTTTCAGGGCCAGGCCCTGCTTCCCTCCTAGCCCTCCAGGGTCTGATCCCTGCTCCCCTCAAGTGCAGCCCTCCAGTGCCTGGCCCCTGCTCAGCTCCTTGCCCTCCAGAGCCTGGCCTGCTCCCCTGGGGCCGGGTCCTGTTCGCCTCCTTGCCCTCCAAGGGCAGGCTTAGCTCTCCTCAGGCAAGGGCCTTGCCACCCTCCAGGGCTGGGCCCAACTCCCCTTCTGGCCCTCAAGAGCCCAGCCCTGCTCCCCTCCTCGCCCTCCAGGGCCAGCGCCCCCACCCCCGCTCCCCTCTTCCCCCTCCAGAGCCTGGCCCTGTTCCCCTAGAGCACAGCCCTTGCCACCCTCCAGGGCAGGGTCCTGCTCCCCTCAGGCGCGGGGCTCCTCTCCCTCCCAGGCCTGAGCCCAGTGGTCCCGGCCAAGGCTAGAGCAGAGGAAGTCCTACACTGCACCTTCCCGCCAGGGAGCACAGAGCCCCGCCCCTGACAGGGGCTGACACTGCAGGCTCCATGAACGCGAGGACAACCATTGCCTGCTCACCTCCTCGCCGACTAGTGGTTGAGGAAAGCATGGGAAGAAGCCGCCTCGCTGACTTCTCTACCAGCGGCGGGGGCGCTGCTGCCCAGCACCGCGCTGCGCTGTGCCCTCTGTGAGGACCCTTATCCGCCGGTCATGGCCAGGAAGCCGAATCCTGAAACTCTGGGTGGCCGCCTGGTTCCTGGTTGGCCAAGCCTCGATGTCCCCTGCTCGGCAGTTGTGAGGCGGCTGGGCTGGGGCGGCCGTGTGCGCGGCGGGCGGAGAAGGAGACTGGGTACCTGGGGCCAGAGAGGGTCCCAGTGCGGGTCATGGTTATAGAGCGCAGGGCAGGCGCGCCCGAAGTGCCGAGAGGCCCTGCTAATGAAGGGTCAGCGGAGTGCTCAGGGCTGACCCGGGAGGAGGGTGCGAGTCCGGGATGAGATCCAGGAACGAGGGGCACAGAGGGGACGTGGGAGGACAGTGGCCCGGGAACCAGATACCGGGGCTTCCTTGGCCTCCGGGTCGCCTCAAGAACCCTGCCAGGCATTGCTGGCAAAGGCGGCGGCAGAAACCGCGAGCCATGGAAAGGAGTTCTCATGGGACGCCCAGAAGCTGGTGCGGGAAGAGGTTGGGGAGCTGCGAGGCGGGCGCCCCGGGTGCAATGTCCGGGCCCAGGGATGGGGCAGAATGGTTTGCTACCAGGGCCGGCCCTGGGCGTCTGGTCCGTGGGCGAGGTGGAGGCGCAACTAGTAGGTCACGCGGGCGTCCTTCTGCCCTCTGGGCACAGTAGCGTGGCTTCACTGACTTTGACCCCGGGACTCTGCACCTGCCCTAACCCCAGGGCCTGGAGTTGGCCCTGAGTTCCCTCCAGGCATGAGCGGCTCCGTGGGTGGTGGCAAGCCGCAGGGCAGCCACGTGCATAAAAAACCTAGGAGCCATTGTGGCCATGCTTTCCATTAAATGGAGAAAGGAAAGGAAGAAAGCCTTAATTAAAAAAAAAAAAAAAAAAAGGCATGCAGGACATGGATGAGTCTCCTGCGTTGTTTCTCAGGGTACCTTCCAGTCCCTTGAGAGGCGTGGCTGTTGGAAGGAGCCTCCCACCCGCGTCTGGACGCCAGCGGGGGCTGAGTTGGAGGCAGGACAGGGCAGAGGGCACGGGGGTTGGGGAAGTGGTCCGGGGCCTGGACTGAGATCTGGGCATCTGACGGGCTCCGCTGCAGCTGACGGGAGAGCTGGATGCTCTCCAGGGTTTGAAAACGCCACAACTCTGCGAAAAGGTGACAGCATTAAGAAATGTGTGGACTCGAATCCCAGGGAGGTAAGACACCTTCTAGCCATGCCCCTACCCGTGTGTTCCCAAGGGAAATCGGGGACCCAGGCTATCAGAGAAGCTGATTTGGCTGGGAGGTGCCCACGTAGCTTTGCGGACAAGGATTCCTGGTAGCGCCTA